TTTTTTCCTGAGACGGAATCTTGCACTGTCTCCAGGCCAGAGCGTACTGGCGTGATCTTGGCTCACTGCAACCTCTGCCTCCTGGGTTCAAGCAATTCTTCTGCCTCAGCCTCTGGAGTAGCTGAGATGACAGGCACCTGCCACCACACCTGGCTAATTTTGTATTTTTAGTAGAGACAAGCTTTTACCATGTTGATCACACTGGTCTCGAACTCCTGACCTCAGGTGATCTGCCTGCCTCGGCCTTCCAAAGTGCTGGGATTATAGACGTGAGCCATTGCGCCCGGCCTGCTGTGTTAACTTCTATAAGTCAGAAGTTTGATGCGACCGAGTTCAAGGCTGATATAACCCAGAGCCAGGACAAGTTGCGAGCTATTTCTAGGGCCTTAGACTTCCTACTGGGAGCGTCGCAGTCCCTTCTAGACAGAGGTCTGGAGAAGGTGGGTCATCTGGAGAGAAGTGACCTAAACTGTCCTAGTTGAAGGGACCTATCCTGGAAACTCATCACTGAAGGAATTAAAATGAGAAATTTAAGGGGAAGGAAAAAAAAATAAATTGTTTTAAATTTTAAAGAGTGGGTGGGCATGTGGGAGAGGGGGTGGAGATAGTTAAGAGTTACAGGAAAACATTTCCAATGAATATGAGGAAGCATTTTATACTGGGAGAGTTCCCACAATTAAATGGCCACTTGGGAAGGCAGTACATTCCCAGACAAAGGTACCAGGCCTAGGTGAGCACTTGGTGAGGATGTTATGGAGACTCAGACTTACGGTGAGTAGGTAGAACACATTGCATATAAGATCCTTCCCAGCCGGGTGCGGTGGCTCACACCTGTAATCCCAGCACTTTGGGAGGCCAAGGCGGGTGGATCACCTGGGGTCAGGAGTTTGAGACCAGCATGGCCAACATGGTGAAACCCATCTCTACTAAAAATACAAAAAAATTAGCCTAGCATGGTGGTGCATGCCTGTGATCCCAGCTACTTTGGAGGCTGAGGCAAGAGAATTGCTTGAAACCTGGAACAGAGGTTGCAGTGAGCCGAGATTGTGCCCGTGCTCTTCAGTCTGGGAGACTGAGAAGTAGCTACCATACGGTGCAAGCTGGGATGCATCAGAGGTTTATACAACCACCCTGAAGTCGAAGGAAGGAGAGAGAACTTTCGGTAGCGAGTAGTCGGGGGAAAAGTGACCCAAAGGTCTGGGATCTTGAACAATGAAGAAGGAACAGCGTTCTGTGAGGAAGGTTTGTTTTTCACAAGTTAATTTCTTCAGCAAACCATCTGAATACTTAATGTTGTCCAAGCTCTGGGCCAGGACCCAGAACAACAAACAAACCAGGTCAAAAGCCCCTGCCTCACGGAGTTGTTTAGTTTAGTTACCGAGACAGACACTTGAGCAGATAGTTTATCGTATGTGGTAAGGTGGAGATAGGGCACAGAACTGAGGCATCTAACCAAGGAAATAAAAAGAACAAAATATAGGCTAGTTAGAATGCCTGCTTTATTGATCTTTTCTGCTGATTCTGGCATCTGTGTTACTTCCTAGTCAATCTCCATTGACTTGACTTTTTTCCCCCTCTGTAGGTTTATTTTCCTGCTTCTTTGTGTGACTGGTAATTTTTGGTTGAATGGCAGACGCTTGAATTCACCTTGCTGGGTTCTGGAGATTTTTGTATTTCTAGAAATATTGAGCTCTGTTCTGGGATGCAGTTAAGTTATTAAGAGTCAGTTTGACCCCTTTGGGTCTTCTGCAAAAGATTTCTTAGGTGTGTATGGAGCAGTGCCCAGTCCAGGGCTAATTATTCTCAACTACTGAGGCATGACCCAATGCCCCAGGAATAATATGCTTTTCCCAGTCTGGCTTCTGGGAGCAGGCACTGTCCCCTGCCCTGTGTGGGCACTGTCCCCTCCAGCCCTTCCAGGTGGTTCTGTCCCTGCTCTCGGTAGCTTCCCAAGACACATGCGCCAATCAGGTCTCCCAGAGCCTCTGGGCAGCGGCCCCTCCCCGTCTTCTCTGCGTGACCTCTGGCTGCCTCAGTCTCCCCAAGCTCTCAGTCCTCTCCTGCACTGGCCTCTCCCCAGCCTCCCCCGGCCTGCAGCACTGGGTCCTGGAGACTCCCCAGGGCCCACCGTGTTTGTTTCCTGCCTCTCGGGTCCTTTGTTTCCTGATGTCCAGTACCTCAAAGCCTGTTGTTTCCTGCATTTGACCTGGGTTTTGGGTTGCCTCAGGGGGAGGGTAAATCTGGGCACTGCTGCTCCATCATGGTCAGGTGTGGGAGTTGGACGCTGGCTTTTTGTTTTTTTTTGCGATGCTGTCTTGCTCTGTCACCCAGGCTGGAGTGCAGTGGCACAATCTCGACTCACTGCAGCCTCCACCTCCCAAGCTCAAGCCATCCTCCCACCTTAGCCTCCCGAGCAGCTGGGACCACAGGTGCACACCACCACACCCAGCTAATTTTTGTATTTTTTGTAGAGACGGGGTTTTGCTGTGTGGCCCAGGCTGGTCTCGAACTCCTGGGCTCAAGACACCTGTTTCCCTTGGCCTCCCAAAGTGTTGAGATATCAGACGTGAGCTACTGCACCTTGTGGACATGGGCTTGTTGTTGTTTTTTTTTTGAGATGCAGTCTTGCTCTGTCACTCAGGCTGGAGCATAGTGGCGCTATCTCGCTCACTGCAACCTCCGCTCCCTGGGTTCAAGCAATTTCTCTGCCTCAGCCCCCTGAGTAGCTGGGATTATAGGAGCCTGCCACCATGCCCTGCTAATTTTTGTGTTTTTAGTAGAGACAGGGTTTCACCATGTTGGCCAGGCTGGTCTTGAACTGACCTCAGGTGATCTGCCTGCCTGGGCCTCCCAAAGTGCTGGGATTACAGACGTGAGCCACCGCGTCTGGACATTAGGTTTTTGAAGGCCAAGGCCTGAGCTTTTAAATTGAGCCGGGGAATCCCAGTATTCATTCAGTGAGCAAAATGGATTTTTAAAATGAACTCTTACAAAACTTTGTTCTAATCTTACTTTATGATAGCCATGAATCGAACACATTCCGTGGCATTTTAGGGTTCATGAGATTTACACATAACCTGGGGTCAGTTGAGTCCAGGGCCTGAAGTTTGCCAATGTAGTGCGCAAGCCCAGCCGAAGGGAAGCTTGAAATTAGCCCTGGCTAATGTTTTTTTTTTTTTTCTTTTTTGAGATGGAGTCTTGCTCTGTCGCCCAGGCTGGAGTGGGGTGATGCGATCTTGGTTCACTGCAACCTCTGCCTCCTGGGCTCAAACGATTCTCCTGCCTCAGCCTCCCGAGTAGCTGGGACTACTGGCTCATGCCACCATGCCCAGCTAATTTTTTTTTTTTTTGAGATGGAGTTTCACTCTTGTTGCCCAGGCTGGAGTGCAATGGCACCATCTCGGCTCACCGCAACCTCCGCCTCCTGGGTTCAGGCAATTCTCCTGCCTCAGCCTCCTGAGTAGCTGGGATTACAGGCATGCGCCACCATGCCCAGCTGATTTTTTGTAGTTTTAGTAGAGATGGGGTTTCACCATGTTGACCAGGATGGTCTCGATCTCTTGACATCGTGATCCACCCGCCTCGGCCTCACAAAGTCCTGGGATTACAGGCGTGAGCCACCGCGCCCGGCCCCAGCTAATTTAATTTTTATTTTTTTATTGTACTTTGGCTCTGGGGTACATGTGCACATCCTGTATCCTGCAGGATTGTCGCGTAGGTACATATATACCGTGTTTGTTTTTAGTGGAGACGGGTTTTACCATGTTGGCCAGGCTGGTCTCGAACTCCTGACCACAGTTGATACAGCTGCCTCGGCCTCCCAAAATGCTGGGATAACAGGTGTGAGCCCCCGTGCCCGGTCTTGGCTAATGGTTTCTGAGTTGGCCTCAGAACCGGTGGCCCTGGGTGGCTCCACTGATGGCCGGTAGGGTAGCTGGGTGGCTCCGCAGCAGGAAGTGTGGTTTGGAGTCAGGTCTCAGCTCACACTCTGGGGCTGGCCCACCCTGGGGCTGCTGTGTTACTTCTGAGCTTTGGTGTCCTGGTCCTGAGGGTGAGGCAGCCAGTACCCATCTAGGGCTGGGATGGGAAGGGGGCAAGGGAGAGCCTCTGAGTCAGGAGCCATTCTCAGTGGGGTGGCTACCTGGGGAATGCCACCCAGGGATGCTTGGGTGGGCACTGGACTTGTGTGGCACTGCAGATGCCAGCAGTGTGAGGGGTGGGTGGTCCAAAGGCTGCAGGCCCAGAGAGGTCTGAGGGTTCCTGCCTGTGAGCGGCGCACTTGGGTGGGCAGTGGCAGCAGGAGGCTGAGAGACTCAGTGCAGAGCCAGCAGGTGGCACAGGTCAGCTGGCCGGAGCGCAGAGGCAGATCAGGGGCCCCAGCATCGCACCACTTAGCCTCTGTGGGCAGCCGCAGGCCCAGGCCCTGCCCATGCTCTTGCGGACCTCACAGGCCCCGAGGAGCACCTGTTCTCATCGGGTCCTGAGCTGGCTCCTCCGTGCTCACCTGCCGCTCTCCTTATCCTTTCAGCTGCCCAGCTGGGAAGGAAGGTGGCCGTGGTAGACTATGTGGAACCTTCTCCCCGAGGTAGGCAGCACCTATGGGAGCCGGGTGTCCTGGAGAAGGAGGGGGGAGGTGGGCCTGGTTCCTGTACAGAGGGCAGCTGACGCCAGAGTCCCTCAGCCCTGCTATCCATGGTCCCTGGACAGTGTCCTGTTTCATACATCATTACTTTAAAGTTCTTCACCATTCTCAAAAACAACTCTGGCCAGGTACAGTGGCCCACACCTGTACTCACAGCACTTTGGAAGCCAAGGCAGACCTTGATCACTTGAGCCCAGGAGTTTGAGGCTGCAGTGAGCTATGATTGCACCACTGCACTCCAGGTTAGATGACAGAGGTGAGAACTAAATTTTTTAAAAAATTGAAACAGTCTCACTCTGTTGCCTAGGCTGGGGTGCAGTGGCGCTATCTCGGCTCACTGCCAACCTCTGCCACCCGAGTTGAAGCAGTTCTTGTGCCTCAGCCTCCTGAGTAGCTGGAACTACAGGTGTATGCCACCACTCCTGACTAAATTTTTGTATTGTTAGTAGAGACATGGTTTCCGCCACGTTGACCAGGCTGGTCTCAAACTCCTGACCTCAGGTGATCCGCCCGCCTCGGCCTCCCAAAGTGCTGGGATTACAGGTGTGAGCCACCGCACCTGGCCTATTTTTATTTTTCATTAAAATTCGTATGGCATGTCAGCTGGCCCTGTTAGAGTTACAAAACAACTTCAAGGAATTCCAAATGCCCTAGAAGAACAGGGAAGTCTCCAGTAGTCACCTGAATGTAAATTCAAATGTGCTCTTCTCCCGGGTGTCTCAGGCACCCGGTGGGGCCTCGGCGGCACCTGCGTCAACGTCGGCTGCATTCCCAAGAAGCTGATGCACCAGGCGGCGCTGCTGGGGGGCCTGATCCGAGACGCCCCCCATTACGGCTGGGAGGTGGCCCAGCCTGTGCCGCATGACTGGTAAGGACCCGGTGCCGTGGCATTTGGGTGCTTTTCTGCTACTCTTGGGTGGAGGAGGAAGAGGAGGCTTATCTTCCGTGAACCTTCACAGGGAGTGTGCTGTAGGATGGATTTCTCAGCCAGGGGTGACTCCGCGCCCTCTGCCTCTGACGTCTGGGAATGTCTGGAGACAGTTGTGGTTGTCACTGGGGAAGGGTTTGCTTCCCTCCTCAGGGGAGCCCAGGGATGCTGCTGCCATGCACAGCGCAGCCCCACCAAGAACAGTTCATCTCCAAGGCCAGGAGTGCAGGGTGGGAGGCCGCTTCGGCTGGGTTCTTTTGGGAAGGGGACCACGTGGCCCAGCACACAGACACCCACAGTAGCTCAGGTAGGCCACTGCTTGCAGGGGGTAGCCTTTGGGGCACAGAGCAGCCGCATCTGGATAGCTGTGGGTCATAGCCCCTGTTTTCTGTGAGTCTAAAAGTCCACAGCCCCAAGCCCGGGACAGGTGGTGGCTCGCAGGGATGGATGTCATGTTTTGCCACCTTTAAAAGCACTCTTGTTTTTTGATACTTCTATTAATGTACATCTGAATCTTTTTTTGTTTTCTTTTGTTTTTTGTAAAGATGAGATTTCACCATGTTTGTCAGGCTGGTCTTGAACTCCAGACCTCAGGCGATCTGCCCGCCGTGGCCTCCAAAGTGCTTGGATTACAGGCATGAACCACTGCGCCCGGCTGTACATCTGAATCTAATCGTCCATTGTGAGACTCTGCAGCTAACACCTGTGTTGTGCTTTTATATTTTGTTTTGTATGTTCACAGGAGGAAGATGGCAGAAGCTGTTCAAAATCACGTGAAATCCTTGAACTGGGGCCACCGCGTCCAGCTGCACGACAGGTACTGAAGCTCCCTTGGGGAGTGGGCTGCCCTCTGGGCATTTTCTTGGGCGTTTTGTGCCTGGACACACACTTACTGACTGTGCAGAGCACGCCCTGGCAGGCTCTGGGGGTTCAGGTCCCTGCTCGTGGGTGGAGATGAGGACAAGGAGTGGGTGGGAGTGACCGCAGGGGAAGGGGAGTCCGCCCTCTGCTGCTGAGCAGAGCCTGGAGGTGCCAAGGAATGAGTGAGGCCACATTGGCAGAATGGCTGGAGCCCAGGGCTGCATAGGGAGGAGGCACTTGGGGCTGGGAAGCCTCAGGCCAGAGAGCATGGACATGGCTGAGCCTGGGGCTGATAAGTGGTGAGGGCCATCCCAGTAGTAAGCCTCCACCCCGTGAACCCCCCTCTTACTACACAGCTCCACTCCTTGGGTATGGCTGCAGGGCCCTTGTGCTTTCTACTGGAGCAAATGTCTTTATCTGGTCGTCATTCCTGTCAGCTCCTGGGGGTTCCCCAGTGCAGAGGCCAATGCTCCCACGGCCTGCAGCCTCCTCCTGGGGCTCAGCTGCCAGCATAGCAGGTGTCTGAATCTAGCTCAGACACTGCCTCAGGCCCAGGCTTTCTCCCAGGGCTGTGGCCCTGCCTGTGCCCCATGGGCCGTGGAGGGGACACTGGTCCTGCAGAGGTCTGATGGCTCTTCTCGTGCACCATTTGCCTGGCTCCAGGGGGATCTTCCTGGGGCTTCACAGCAGGGAGCAGTTTTGTGTCCATTGAATCCAGGAAAGCAGAGCCAGGAAGCCAACTGCTTGCCCTTTACCTGGGCCTCACGAGCTCTCCCCCTATCCAGGGAGCTAAGCCACATTGTGTTGTGGAGTTTCTGCGTTTCTCTGTGGGGATCTGTATCACCCGGTACAGTTTCCTGGGGGCAGCAGGCTTTGCCCTCTTTCCTCCCTGCCCTATGCAGCTCCTGGGCAGGCACCAAACAGGCCCAGCCCACTGCCTGCCCCAGAGCCGCCTGTATAAGGAGGCCGGGGCGCACTTTGGCTCTTTCTGCTTTTTCACTCTTCTGCAAAGTGCTGCCATGAGCATCGTGCGGCTGTGTCCCGGAGCCACTTCCTGGCCGTCGAGGAAGCCAGCCCTGTGATTGAAGGGTTCTTGCTGCGAGAGCTTCACACGGCTTAGACGGCCCATGGACGCGCAGGCTTGTGGGTGGGGAGAAGGCAGCCTCAAGCAGCGGGGGAGCCTTCCCAGAACCCTTGCTGCAGCACGGCCTTTCTGTCATTAGGAGGTGTTGGCCGGGTGCGGTGGCTCATGCCGGTAATCCCAGCACTTTGGGAGGCTGAAGTGGGAGGACCACTTGAGCCCAGGAGTTGGAGACCAGCCTGAGCAACATAGTGGGACCCCCATCCCTACAAAAATAAAACGAACTAGCCAGGTGTGGTTGCCCATGCCTGGAGTTCCAGTTACTTGAGAGGAGGCTGCAGTGAGCTATGATCGTGCCACTGCACCCCAGCCTGGGTGACAGAGAGCAAGGCCCTGTTTCTAAAAAAAAAATAAGGACTGGGTGTGATGGCTCATACCTGTAATCCTAGCACTTTGGGAGGCTGAGGTGGGTGGATCACCTGAGGTCAGGAGTTCAAGACCAGCCTAGCCAACATGGCGAAACCCTGTCTCTTCTAAAA